TCGTTGACACTTACGAACGTTCAAAACATTTCCATAAACATTTTTGGTATTCTTTGTGGTTACAAAGGCATTGTTTCCCTTCTTGTATTCAAACAGCATTACATGGTGAATGTACGTCTCGTCGTGTGCTATCACTATAAGGGATTAGAGTATACTAAACTTTACACATTATATAGACTACACTAACATGATGTTTAGGCAGTTCGTTTAACTATTATACGTGATATACGTTTTTTTTTGTTTTTTTCTTGGGGGGGGGGGTTAATGAAAGTGTTCCAAAACGCAACATTAATTTAATGTCGACCTACTATATATATACGCATTACTTTATATTGCATAGAACAGATGTTAATATCAATGGTTGCATGAATTTATAATACCGAACCAGATAGTGTTGGCCAAGTCCTCACGATATTTATGTATTGCAGTGTTCCTGTTGCCAAACCACTACTCTATTCACATTATTACAACAATGGCTTATATAACACATTTGGTGGACATAATTAATTATATCTGTCACTTGACATTAGTATTAGCCCTATTATATTTCTAAACGCTACATTCTTTATCTAGTCCCTTAGGGATGGCTCGGCATGGCCAGGTGGTTAGGGCGCTCGCAATCTGTGGGTCGCGGGTTCGAATTCCCGTCACACCAAACATGCTCGCCCTTTTAGTCAATCCCACTATTCGTTGGTAAAATAGTAGCCCAAGAGTTGGCGGTGCGTGGTGATGAATAGCTGCCTTCCCTCTAGTCTTACACTGCTAAATTAGGGATGGCTAGCGTAGATAGCTCTCATGTAGCTTTGCGCGAAATCCATAACAAACCCTTAGGGATTTTCAAGAATTAGAATACTGTTTAATAATAGTATTCCAACCGTACTATTTTTGCCCGATCCAGAGCTTATCAGGTCAGCTGGGTTACAACAAACACACTAATGCTAAATTGTTATTTAAGAATTACTTTAATCACATTTTTCTGCTTCTCTAAGCTAAATCTACTTTTCGATTATTTAATTATCCTGTCCGTAACGCAATATGAAACACATTTTCATTCCTCCTTTTTCTACGACGTATGTTCATTTTTATAAATGTAAAAAAAAGGGTATGCGATTTTCTAAGCAGCTTTGAACCATATTATCTTAAGAATGAAAGTATTCGTTGTGATGTAATATTTTCGCGTCACTTGCGACCACTATACCACCATAGGTATCATGTGATATATATACGTGTGTATAAGAATGACCAGAATGAAACGTATTAAGAAAATAAAAATAATCTACATTTCTTCAACAAACTGGTTTGTTTTGAATTCAGCACAAATCTATCTGCGCTAGCCGTCCCCGGTTTAGCAGTGATAGACTAGAGTAAAAGCAGATAGTCAACACCACCCACCGCCAACTCCACTTTTTTTATTAACGAAAGGCGAGCATGTTCAGTAACTGGCATTCGAACCCGCGACTCGCCAATAAGGAGTAAAGCGCCCCAACCACCTGGCCATGCCAGACTACATGTACTAATAACGAAGGCAAAATTATGCAAACGTGTGATGATGTATGCATCTGTATACTCCTCTACACGCAATATATATATACTAGGTAGTTATACGGCTCAAAATACATGTTACATAATGGAGGGTTTCACAATATAAAAGCTGCTCTTTAACCACAAAAGTAAATATTACATACTGGAGGGTTTCATAATGTAAAAGTTGCTCTTCAACCGAAAAATAAATATTACATACTGGAGGGTTTCACAGTGTAGAAGCTGCTCTTCAACCAACAAAGTAAATATTACATACTGAAGGGTTTCATAATGTAGAAGCTGCTCTTCAACCGAAAAAATAAATATTCCATGCTGGAGGGTTTCACAATGTAAAAGCTGCTCTTCAACCAACAAAGTAAATATTACATGCTGGAGGGTTTCACAATGTAAAAGCTGCTCTTCAACCAACAAAGTAAATATTACATACTGGAGGGTTTCACAATGTAGAAGCTGCTCTTCAACCGAAAAAATACATGTTACATACTAGAGGGTTTCACAATGTAGAAGCTGGTCTTCAACCAACAAAGTAAATATTACAAACTGGAGGGTTTCACAATGTAGAAGCTGCTCTTCAACCAACAAAGTAAATATTACATACTGGAGGGTTTCACAATGTAGAAGCTGCTATTAAACCAACAAAGTAAATATTACAATACTGGAGGGTTTCCCAATGTAGAAGCTGCTCTTCAATCAACAATTATTTTGATGCCTAGAAAATACAAACTGATAACAAAGTTCTAGATTTATGTATATTAATTCTAGTACCTTAAAATAAATAGCGCAAAGTAAGAATAATATTAAATGAATTGATAATTTAAGTAAAACACTCTGAAATAATAATATTAAAAAAAGATACATACATACACTTGTGACATATGGTTCAGAAGAAGCGAAAATGGGGTAACACATCACGTGACTGCAATAATTACTCATCTCCTACAAACCAGCTTTCTGGTGTTCTAGTTGTTTTCCTATGGAGATTCTGAGTGTTCTCACTGGCTCTGAGTTGGTAACGTAGTTCAGACTAGACTGATCAAATGAGATCAAAATACAAAAACTTATAACCCAAGTGCTTTCGAAAGGGTAAACCTAACCTAATGTGTTTTCCTAACTTCGTGATCAAATAAGACACATAAAGCAAACTACATATAAAAAACGTCGTGTTGTAGATACATGGAGTAAATTACTTATAAAAACATCGTATAATTGTATATTTCAACTGATCTAATAAAAACTGTTAAATATGTTAAACAAACTAAAATGCTGTGCTTACATGATGTATAATTGTATATTTCAACTGATCTAATAAAAACTGTTAAAT